AATTACATGATCAACAGCTTCTCGAAAAACTCACGGCGTTTTTCGTGACTTCCAGTGAGGAAGTTTAGAACAGCTGATTATAGTCGCATATGGTTGCCGACTGCACCATCCCACATCAGAAATTGATGCGAACATACGGGGTCAGGTCGCGTATGACCTTTGGACATTCCTCCCTGCTATTCATTGTAGGGTTTTTGGCATTTATCCAAAAAACCTCAAGAAGTTTTCGCGCTGGTGTTTTAGTCTCCTGTGCAAGGATATTGACTTTTACTTCAAAATCGTCTCCGCTATTCTTTTGTATCCTATGCGTGCCTAGTGGGGTGCTTCGTCTTAGTTTTCGTTTGCCATCTAGGTGTTCTTTTATACGGATACACAAAGGTCTGCCCGTTTCGCCAATATATTCATCTCCGCAATTATTACAAGAGATCAGGTATATCGTACCCGAACTCATGCAATCACCGTCCTTGCCATAAGAGCAAATTACGCAATTTGTTGTTTCACACAGACGGTCATACAGGCGGTTGCGAACTAATTGACGACGTAGAGTAGCCGGTGGTAAACACTTGGCTAAAAGAAAGTCCCGTTTATGTTGCCTTTTATAAGCGATGACGTAAGCGTAGCTATAAAACGATGCTTAAGAAGGGCAAGTCTAGAGGAATCGGTAGCGATAGTTGAAATACCACCGGCTACTCTACGTCGTCAATTAGTTCGCAACCGCCTGTATGACCGTCTGTGTGAAACAACAAATTGCGTAATTTGCTCTTACGGCAAGGACGGTGATTGCATGAGTTCGGGTACGATATACCTGATCTCTTGTAATAATTGCGGAGATGAATATATTGGCGAAACGGGCAGACCTTTGTGTATCCGTATAAAAGAACACCTAGATGGCAAACGAAAACTAAGACGAAGCACCTCACTAGGCACGCATAGGATACAAAAGAATAGCGGAGACGATTTTGAAGTAAAAGTCAATATCCTTGCACAGGAGACTAAAACACCAGCGCGAAAACTTCTTGAGGCTTTTTGGATAAATGCCAAAAACGCTACAATGAATAGCAGGGAGGAATGTCCAAAGATCATACGCGACCTGACCCCGTATGTTCGCATCAATTTCTGATGTGGGATGGTGCAGTCGGCAACCATATGCGACTATAATCAGCTGTTCTAAACTTCCTCACTGGAAGTCACGAAAAACGCCGTGAGTTTTTCGAGAAGCTGTTGATCATGTAATTGCCATAGAGTTTTTCGTCTTTTTGTAAGTGTTATTGAAGCGTTTGGCCTAGTAGATTGTGTATCAGTATACCCTTCCAGGCTCTGAAGAAGGCGATACTGCCGAAACGTCAGCTAGCGTTGTATTGTTTTGTGTTTTTCTATGGAAGTAAATGTATGCTGTTTAAAAACCTCGCGATTGCTGAACAAGAAAACGAAGACAAAATTCCTCAACGAAAAATCAGACTCGCACGCAGGTTTGATGACTTTTGTAGATCTTGGATTCGAGGAAAAGAATAGGATGCGGAAAGTGTTTGGATACGAACTGTAGGTGTGAAGATGTATCGTGCAAAGAGAAGTTGATGTACTGTCGATTCTTTATGTGGATGAGTTTCCTTTCTTCGAGATCGCTGTTCACGATCATTGGCTGCTGATGAAAATATGAGAGCATCCTTCCCTGATTTGCGAAGCATTTGATGTCAACTGCTAGTAGTACGTCTGCATTTGTAAATTATCGTTTAAAAAACTTTTGGATGTTGTTGGAGTCCATTCTACCGTTATTCTGGTTGGTTTATTTTCGGCTCTTAAATAAGTTTACCTCTCTATCATTAGTGGTCAGAATTTGCAACGTACTTGAAATATTAATCAACGTCTCGCCTTCATAGCAGATCCTTGTGAGGATCCGTTCTGAATAAAAGTGAGCAGGTAGTTTTGAATTCGCCTGATGATCGACAGTTTTCTTCTGAGATAGGGATAAACGTCATCCTTGCTGCTCTTCTTCTTTTTTGCCTAAAGTTTTCTTAATATTGCTTCCAATAATCATTGAACACCAAAGGTACAGCTGTAAAGTGGTTTCTGTGATTAGAGAGCCATCCTATGCGATTTGTTTAAATCACATCGCTCTTGTTTTTCAGTAAGCTTGATTCTCGTTCAGTTTGTGCACATTCCTATCTTTTTTTCAACTCTCTCTTGAGCTCCTTGAACAGTTGCTTCACTGATGGATCTCGGAAGAATAATTAATTTTGTTCTAAAGGAATTTCCACCAATGAGTTTGCCCTTTTCATCTTAATGGGGGTTTTATTATGCACTGCAATGCGATGAGAAATTAGGCGATATTGGGCCACTTTGTTGAAGGTTTTCTTTCAGGAAATTATATTAGTTCTATAGAAGAGCTGTGGCTTCATGATGAAGTTGAGATAGTGTTAAACTTTAAACTTTTCTTGTTATTAAACAAAGATTTGAACAGGAGGCGTTTCATTCATGTTTTCCTGCTTGTTGAGATGGTTTTTAAACGTTTTGGCGAACGAACACCGGGATCTAGGCTTATTAAGACCAATGAAGAGATAAAGCTGTCGGTTTTGTTCAAGCTCTGAGGGATGAGCCATGCATTCGACATCGACATTCAATTTAAAAAGGAATGCATATCAGTCCTATGCAATTACTACGGTGGCCTGCAGATGTATGAAATTAGTGCTACTATTTTTCCATACAACAATGGCACCAATTTGTCGACCACGGGGGACTTGGTGAACTTGGTGGTCGGCATCTAACTAGCGACGGAGTGTGTATTGTAAGGTGCCCTCTAACCACTGCGGTTTCCATTAGGATCCATAGTAGACATATCGTCTTAAGATTTCCTTCTTTAGTTTTCCAAGTCAAGTGTGTTTTTTTGATATCGTCCAAACAACTGTGGTTATTGCCTTAATCAACGTAATGAAGAAGGATCGAACTTCTTAAGATCCTCCCACTAATTCGATCGACACTGCCAGTAATATTGAGTCGTAAGTTAGTGGTACTGTAACTGATCATTATTTACCACTTCCTGAAAGTTGTTTTTCTGGAGCAGATTATTACCATAAAAAGGATACAGGAAATAGCTCACGGCATTGATCAATCCCTAGGAGATGCGGCCTGCATTTGACTTCAACGTTTGAAGGTGATTGAATGCATATCTAGCCTTTACAATAACTCGCGATGGCCTGCCGAAGTATCGAGCCAGTGCCTATCCTGCCTATCCTCCTAGACAAGTCTGGTATATATTTGCCGACCTCGGAAGGATGGAGGGCTTGGTGGGCCATGGGCACGGAGAACGATTCCAAGTGTGTCTCGCAGGGTGCCTCCGTCCACTGCGCCACATGCGCCCTTATTATTACCATATGAAATATATGCTACGGCCGAAAAATCAATGAGAGATCATTCTAATCTTTTTTCTGTGTTCAGACAATTTCACAAGTCGTGAAGAACATATATCATATGGATCGACTAGAATCGTACTTGTACGGCATCGGTCAGCTACACTGTAAATATGCTCATCGTGGTTTTAAGCCTGAATACTGGGACGACTTCAAGGTATTGCTAGTGATGTTTCATTGATCTCGTGCTATAGCTTTCCCGCAAAACGACTTACGGCTTTCACATAGTGTTTTAACTTTTATTTATTTGTTGTCTATTCTTCTTTTTAGTAGCAGGATATCACGTGAAACGAAATAACTGTAAAGGTGGATGAAGGTCATTCTGAATAAGCCTTTTCAATGCTGCTCATTTCAAATGTGGGAGACTAAAGGATGCAAAAAATGTATAGTTTTGTAGAATACCGGTAAACTTAGGCAAAACGAGATTTTATATACATTTATAACTGCTTTGAAGAATGAGCCAGGCCAACTATTGTTCGTATTTTGACCAAATAATTACTACCTTTTATTGTAAACCGACTCTCCTTAACCTGTGTATAAATGATCACTGTACCTTGTTTCATCGATATCGGCTAACGTTTCGACGTCTTCGTCTTGCTCAAAGCCGGTGATCCGAGTCAATGTCCGCAGTCGTTCGTCTTCTCGATGTGGTGTCTTCGTCGATCATCGAGCCGGATCTTCTTTGCTGGATCATCTTTCGAAAGATGCTTGACTCGATACGCCCAGACAAAGACGCCCACATCAAGAAGGAGAACGACTGTGGACATCGACTCGGATCGTCGGCTCTAAGGAAGATGAAGACGTCGTGACGTTAACCTAATAAATATTGATAACAACCTCGTATTAGCTTATCAATGAAACAAGGTATGTTACCTTTAAGTTGAAAATACTACCAAACTGTTATACGTTAAGTCTAAATAAGTGTATACTGGAGCCATGTTCTGTTAGAACCATCGGCTTTGGTCAACTAAAGACTTAAATGGGTCTTTAGGTCGTGGTTTTTGATTCCTGTTATGTTTCCTCAAAAGCTGTTACTTCATATGTGGATTAACGGTGGTGTGCAAATGGTATTTATTTGTTACTTATAAATGAAGTTGGATCAATATCTATACTTTACGTTTCCCAACTCTACGCATTATACCTCATTTACCGTACTGTACAATCTTTTCAATACCATTTCTCAACAAGTTTTCATCATTTGATCACATTTTTAATTCACGAACAAGATTCAGCTGTACAGAAACATCTCAAAATCCTAGCAGTATCAAAGTATACTTACTCGAATACTTGGATAAACCGTCTCCACTGGTTATGCGGCCCCAGCAAAATTTTCATCTTTTTCGGAAATTCGTTGCTTCAGCCATTGTGGCTCTCTGGAGTCTCAAGGTAAGCCCAGCCAAAGTCTGCCTCTGGTCGTCACCACCACAAGCAGTCGTCGCTTTTGTGGACCAGAGGGAGATTTGCCGCCATGCGACTAGTTTGCTGCCAGGACGGTGGTGGATTTTGGTGTTAGTTTGCGCTCAACTGTGCTTCCTGATAGAAACGCCGGACTCCTCAGTTTGGGAGATGCTGTTGGGGTGATGAATCCACCACTCTACATCGTAACCCGACAGACACCTAGGAACACCTCACAGCCACGATGAGGTGGTAAAGTGTTGTGTGGTAGTATAAAAGTATGGATGGAAATGACCCAGCATGAAAAAATGCAAGAGTGTTATTTCAGGAAGAAAATCAATATTTTGGCGATCTTGCATTCTTTCATTATAAGGACATGATTGCGATCCAACAGATTTTCCTATTCTCCTAATAAACTCTGACGCTTTGAAAACCATGAGAGTTTACTTAGTAGCAAATACATTCGTATCGAATAAAACAGTTATTTTTTACCATTAGTTAGAGAAGGAGTTGTGTTGAAAACCAGCTGCAATGCTTTTTGATGTTTAGGCGTCATTTTTTTCTGAAACAGGAGAATCTCAAAAAGCTCTTTATTGACAACGTTTATTTTATTGCGAAGTCCACTTCCTTTTCTTCTATTTTTTATTTTCGCTTTAAACGATTCGTCTTTCAAACCTACCGCGCATATCCCAGCACCTCTTGAACTCGATTCATTTTCTTGCATCCACCACCCACGAAAGTGTCCGAGGTTTTCGGGTGTAGGTATATTCCATTAGTTAACAGACACAGAATTTAGCAACGTTTATCTAATTATATGTTACTGTACTATCTAATTATTCTACTAGTGAACCAATATGAAATCGTGGCGCATCGCATTAAGTAGTGGACTAGTGGTTTCTTATTCCGTACTTTTCGAAAGCTTTTCTTAATAGAGTTTAGAAGTTCTCATTTAATTTCATGTAGATTATTTTTATTTATTGCTTACCTTACTACTTTTTTTAAAGCTACTTTTCCAGAAATTACTTAGTACGTTTCCGAAGCAACCTAAATGAAATTCACATTCGCCTTCATCACCTTCTTTTAGTCTTCACCTATTTCTAAAACCGTTTTTCTCATTTTAAGTGATTTTGCCGATTTTTCATCACAAGGTTCATATGTTGTTTGGAAGTACTTATCACTTGCAAGGTATGGTTCGAATGAAAACATCTTGGTTTCTAGGACGCTATGGTGCATTCGCTAACCGAACACATGAATTCGCTGCCAGATTTGGATGCTCAACAACGGTTGGAAGCTGTTGCGGTATGTACTTGATACTCGATACTCGAATGATCCGTCCTCACTGGTTGTGGGACGAATTCCCCCTGTACATCGCAGTCCGACACCCAGGAACATCTCTCAGCCACGATGAGGCCGTAAACCGTTAGGAGGTTGCGGTATCTACTAGTAGTTTATCAAAAAACAGTGTTGACTTAGTCCGATAACGTATCATAAGTGTTTCAGTGTTTGGTTAATATCATGTTTTAACTAAAACTAAGAAAACTTTTTGTTAAAAACCTGAATAAACTCACATTTGTGATATTTTGGCTAGTAATTTTCGGAGCAATGCCTGTTTCTACAGTACTTGTAATCTTCGCAATACTTTGCTTTGATGAAGAATGAGATAGACATCTTCAATTTGGATGCGAAAGATTTTGCGGAGAAGATCTTTTTTTTATAAGACCGGTGACTTTAACATCAGCGTTAGCGACGGGAAGACGGGCAAAAGCACAATAGGATAAACGGGATAGGTTGTGACGAAGGAATAAAAGGCTTTAAGCGTTTGTATGTAAAAATATGACAGTTTGTCGTTATTTACACTTTTAAAACCTTCACATCGATGTTGTACGTGCGAGTGTTCTAATGGAGAATATCATAATAAAAAGAAAAATTTGCAACATCATTGTCAATTGGAGCCTTACATGGTCGATATCACTGTCGTGGAAATGTTTTGGACGGAATCTAGCTATCACCTCAGTGCAAAATCCGTTCCATTATAGAACGGAAACGAAGAGGAAGCACTCAAGCAAGGAAATTCATTAGATACTAGGAATTAAGAATTTTAGATTCTTTGCTTGGCTCTTTGGAAAATGCTAATAGCAACAATATTGATGAGGAAGGAATGCGTTTTTCTCATCCAACATCTTCTTTATAATGCTAGGAATATGAGGAATTTGAAAGTCTTCTAGGGATGCTACAAACTCGTGCGCCAGGTTGATCGTACCTCAAGTTCAGATCGCTGTTTACAAAAACTTAACTATAATAAGTCCGTTAGAGAGAAGTGCGAAAAACCCTTCAATCTTCGCTAGGTTTCGCCATTTGAAAGGCCATGATGAACGTTTTCTGGATTCTGATATGACGGAAGTTATATTGCATTCCAAATGCGTTGACAGCGGAGTCCACTTGCTTAACAACGTAACGAAAGGGTTATATACGATGCATGAACTCTTCTCATTTCCAAAATGCAATATATTATATTGTCAATGGTGATACAATGCATAATTCCGGGAAGATCCAACCCAAACATCAGAAGAACCAACCTACTGCAGCGAACCTGTTCTGCTGCCTACAAGACTGGTTTTTCACGATTTGCTTTGGTATTCAAGATTACGACGATTTACGGTATTCTATTTTGTATAAGAGGATAGACTACACTGTCACCAAGTGCTTCTGCTATTTTTCATCTATTTATAAGCCTTTCTTCTCAGTTATTATAACCAGGATTGGCAAAACAGTCTTACGAGCAAGCAAGATTTCAAAAGGGTTCGATACGACTGACTAAATCCATGTTGTTGGAAAATCCAGCGAGAGCTCGCTGGAGTATCAGATGCCAACCAACATATCTCACTTGCATCGATTTGGAGATGGCCTATTCAAGTGCAATGTCATTTGTTACGAAAGGCTAGGTAATTGAGATTATCTTTGCTAACTCTTACATAGAACTCTGTGCTCACTTATGCGGCAACTTTGTATGTAGGAATTCAGCCGTTCTACAACGTTAAAAACGTGTTCTCGACTCGATGATAGTGGTTAGATAAGATGATGATTATTCAGAATTATTCAGCGTCACTTTAGGAACGTCATGGGAGAACGAATATAAAGAAGGAGAAAATAGATGCGAGCATAGATGGTGGGAGTCGGTAGCCAGTGACCAAATTATTTTCATTTTGTTGATGGCATTATTATCTGTGGGACTACGAACGGAGGCGCTGGCCAATTTACCTGCCTACCTAACTCCCTATGGAAAAGCTGCTGACTTTCAGCTGCTCTTAAAGACCGGTCAATCATAACACGGCTCTTGAAATTTAGATACGATACATTGACACAGTATTAGGGAGAGGTGGTAGTGATCCCGTTCATTACGAGGAAGGCCCGGCTTACCCAACAGCTGGTTCGATACCGCCCAGTACCCACTAATCCTCTCTTCCCTCAGGGGTCGGGAAATCGGTACCAGACTGGGAGAAGCTGACTTCCTGCGCGCCTGAAAGTCCTAGCACGGCCATCTTGGTATTCGACGAAAATCTACTCAACGATCATTCAACGGCATTACGACGATGACGAAAAAATCTTTCTTCAAGCAGCAGCCGAAGCCACTCACAAAAAGTTCGAAGGTCTTCGTGGATGGTGCATACGAGGAAGCCAATAGAATGAAGGAAATGCTCGGATCCACACACTACGACACATGGGTTGTTGGGCCATGTAATAAAAAATATTACTATTATTACCACAAGGGCGCAGTGTCGGAGACCCCTTGCTGGACACACATGGGATCGATCTCTGTACCTCTGGCCCACCAGTCGTCCCGCCTCCGGGGCGGGCAAATTGGTATCAGACTTGTCTCGAATAAAGCAGCACTAGCTCGATATATCGGTTGACCACCGTGAGTCATTGTTAAGGTTAGATATGCATTTGATCACCTCCAAACGATGCTCGATGAAGTCGAATGCATGGCGCATCCCTAAAGGATTGATCAGCGCCGAGAGCTATATTTAGAGCTTTTATTGTCATTACATGGGCCTTCATCACGTCGACTGTGCGAATCGCGGCACTTCTTGCATTCGATTCACTTTCATCGCATTCGTCATCCACAAAGGTCGTCGAACACTTCGCGTGTTGTCTCAGCTGCTGCTTGAGGATCTCGAGATAGCCGAGCAAAGGTATTTCCACGTTGATTGGAGGAGAGCGCTTAGGTGAAGGTAGAACGAGCAACTTGCTTCCAGGTGGGCTGCTTCATTAACCACAGTGCTACTATCACCTTCCGTAATAAAAAAAAAAATAAAAACAAAGTGCGGGCAGTATTGTTGCTGTGTGGTTGCATAGCGTTCATAAAGTTATTTGACTGATTTTTGGAAATATTAACTGTAAAATCGTTTTTTTTTAGGTATGGCGAAAGGTGGCGCATTACATTATATCGCATATGGTAACGGGCTTCTTTGACGGATTAAAATCGATCAATAACCATCCACCACTCACTTGAGTGCACCACCTCACGTTCTTCCTCATGAATCCTTTTTTTAAAATAAAGGGTGACTGTTGCAGTGAACTTACTGATTACTTAGTTCAACTGGTATTTCGACTCGGTATGGTGATAAATTCCAGTACCAATTCGTCATAGAGCTCATTTTCTATGCATATATTTCTCCTTACATTTTAGTATAATTAATGTGGATTTTTGCAATGCTATCCCTTGTATTTTCAGTTCTTGCCTTGAACAATTGTAAGAATCTTTATCCCACCAATCTTTCTTAGAATTTACTAGTTATCTTGTACTTGTCCTTTATTCCAACACGGTGTTACCTAGTACAATTGCGAGGGTCATTTTACTGATTTCTTTTATTCTCTAGTGATAGTTATTACTTCACTTATTATACAGTTGTATTATCCCAGTGAATTTTGTTACTTGTTGAGCTTCCTTCTTCGGTGACATCTGGTCTTTGACGTGTTGTATATTTCCACAACGTTGCTGAGATATTTGCAAAACTCTGGACCGCAGGTGTCTATGGTGGGGAACGAACGCGCTATTGTCCTTTCCGGGGAGTAACGCGTTCACCACCACACCATGCGGGTCCTTCGTTTCGCCTGTCTCTCAGCTATTTCTATCGATCTTTTTGCCACAGCAATCACCCGTCAGCGGGGTTGATCTGGGGAGCGCAAATCGGCATAGAACCCAGTTAAGCTATAGCTGTAGTTGAAATCACAATGTTTAACGTTCTGTTTTCTGTCTTCTATAATTTTCATGGCAGGTTACTAAGCGAAATACAACCACAGCGTTGCTGAGATATTTGCAAAACTCCGGACCGCAGGTGTCTATGGTGGGAAACGAACGCGCTATTGTCCTTTTCGGGGAGTAACGCGTTCACCACCACACCATGCGGGATAGAGATAACGATAGAAATAGCTGAGAGACAGGAGAAACGAAGGACGTGAGGTTCGGAGTTTTGCAAATATCTCAGCAACGTTGTGGTTGTATTTCGCTTAGTAACCTGCCATGAAAATTATAGAAGGCAGAATACAAGACGTTAAACATGTTGTATATTTCGTTTATTATTGAACGCTTAATAAGGAATTCAGCAAAACTTCAGCTTTTAGGTAGGTGAGTCTACGGTCTTTGGTAGAGAATCCTACCGTTTTATTTTTCTCTATGTAGCTATACTGTAATAATAATAATAAAATGATAATCACCGCAACCAGTGGACAACACTGTTGAATCTTTTTCTCACAAATGTTTTGTCAAAGGTGGGTTTGTTTCATGAACGAGGACACCTACAAATGTTCTCATTCTTTGGCTTATGTTTCCGTGGACATTCTCTACAGCAGACGTCAACATGGACCCACAATGTTCTGGTTCTCCTTTTGTTCTTCCTTCGATTGTCGTTCTCAAAGTAATTTGAAAGACTGACTTTCGGCTAACCTCGAAATTAATTATGTTGTACTCTCGTCTTTTTTGAGATAATACCTTGTTCATACGTATTTTGATATTAAATGGGTGAAGTTTCGGTGTCTTCTTCTCCTTAGAGCGTGTATTTTATTTAACTCTATCCTTATTGCCGTGTTGAGAGACAGGCGAAACGAAGGACCTGCATGGTATGGTGGTGAACGCGTTACCACCCGGAAAGGAAAATAGCGCGTTCGTTCCCCACCGCAGACACCTGCGCTCCGGAGTTTTTCAAATATCTCAAATATCTCGGCATCATTAAAGTTATATTTCGCAATATACGCTGCCGTTAAAAAGAGTAGGAATAATAAGCTAAAATCTATTTTTATTGTCAAATGTCAATAGACCATCGACTTGGATCATAGTCTCTGATGAAGACGAAACAGTCGAAATTTTAGGCGGAAGTGAAGAATATCTACCAACTTCGTGTAAGCTTATCCAAGAAAGAATACATATTTATCCTTATGATTTGATCAATCGTTTATAATATTATTGAAGCCCTAATGTCGAAAAAGTACAAATCTTTTAAAAATCGCTCATTGTTTCCGTTCTGTAAGGTGTGGCGGTCACCTGTGTGTCGCTCACGTGGGATTAAATATAAGACGTCCACACTCTTAAAAAGGCGAAATCGCCGAAACGTCCAGCCATTGAACATCAAAATTGTAGGGCGCCTCCGACGACTGCGCCACACGCGTCCTTGATAAATATATATGAACGCAAATAAAGATAGACAGTACTCTTTATTGGTTGGAGAGTAGGCTCGACATAGCACGTATTCGTTTGTGTTTTTGCTTTTCTCCCCTTATAATCGTATATTTATTTCGGACATACATTCTCAAATAAATGCGTCAGCACTTCGAGAAATCATAAAAGTAATTTTAAGTCTATTCTATTATATTCCATAATAACCAAAGTGCATAGGGTATTTAGGTCATTGCAGTCTTAGACAATGTAACAGATTTTTAGGTTCCGTTTGCGGTGATAAAACAATTTCAATATGTGCCTGTTTTGGTGACTATCGTAGGGATTACGGTACTTCGAATCTTTTAATGACGTGCCTTAGTCAGCTGACAATCGTTCCACTTTCTTACATTGAGTTGACAATGTATTCATGTTAATGTCACTGTCCTAAAAATAGAAAAGGCAATAAGCGTGATGTTGAGAATCTTGTCGTTTAAGGATACACGTTTTTGAACGATCAGTTCTTGAGATTTGGGTTATTTTTTCTTGTTACGTTACAAAAATTTTGAGCTAAAGATGATGTTGATTAGTTTCACAACTGTAAAACAAAAAGCTAATGTAAAACAATGATTAACGTGAGGATGGTTTCAGATTTCTGTACAGGAAATGGGTTTGTTTGCCCACAGAAAATGGCAAGGAACATGGAGCTGAGTTGTGCAAGTACTAGCTGGAGGAACTGAAGAATGACGGAATTACGTCTTCTTACTAAAGGACAGTGGAATAAAAGTATAGAAAATAAAACATTAGGCGTTGATCAATCTAGCTTCAGCTCTTCGCCATGCATTCGACTCCACGCCCATCACAGTAATGGTGAATGATTGCAAAGTTAACCTATGCAATAACATCCAGGAGCCTGCCAATGTATCAAATCAGTGTTTTTCATCAATAAGCAGACACGAGGTTGTTAATATAGAATTTATTAGAACACAATTGCTGACGTTTCGGCGGTTTCGCCTTCTTCAGAGCCTGGAAAGGTCAAATTGAGATGCGATCTACTCAGCCAAACACTTTCATAACCCTAGCAGATAAAACTTGATAAATCGATTTGTATTCGCATAAGAAACAGCTTCATTCAAACACCTACCGTTTATTTGTTGTAAGTATTTAAGTTAGTTGGTGGATAGCCGCCGCACAGAGTGGTACATGGTCGATAACTGGGTCCATGTCAGATCATTGGATCAGC